GCACAGGCGGTGAGGAGCGAACCCCACGAAGCTGCCCCTCGCCAAGCACCCAACAGGGGACCTGCAAGTCCACTGGGCCCACAAATATTCACACAGACAACTCAACCTCTCCGCAATTCCACGACTCGTTGCCGACCCTTTCTTCTGTTTGCTCTCTCCGCATCGCGCTGTGCGCTCCTTGCTCTGCTTCTACACCGAAGTCTTCGACACCTCTAATTCCGACACATAAACACCGTAAAAATGAGAGGCGAGGTAAGAGCACACCCCCGTTGCCCTTTGCGACTCGAAGTGGCTGCCCACATCTGGCGATACCTTCAGGCCGGCGGCCCGCCCGCAATGCGGAGACTGCCAAGATGATGCCATCGCCATTCGGATTTATGGAATTCGGCAATGGTTTGCTTGCCCGACCCCAATGGTGTTTCAGCAACTACCATTGCCGCTATTTTGCACCGATTTCGTGCAATTTACGACTGGCCAAGTCGGTTGTTTGTTGCTACCTTTGCTGGGCCGGGCAAGCTTGCTACACCTCGGCTATCAAGAACGTCGGGGCATGGCTGAACTTGCTACACAAGATGGATTCCATAGGGCGCGAAGCTGGATGCTGACACGACTGCTCACCAGATTCTTCATGTCCACCTGGGCCAGGCTGGTGCCCAGTTGGGCAACAGTGCTTGGGAGCTGTAAGTACCTACTCACCGCTTTTTTTATGCCGCCGTTTTGGCTAACAAGCGCTTCTAGGTACTTGCTAGAGCACGGCCTCTTGCCTGACGGCCGCCCGAACCCCGAGGCCACCGACATCGCCGAGGGCGGCTCCTTCGATACCTTTTTCACCGAGACGAGCGGTGGTAAATACGTCCCCAGGTCCATCTTTGTTGATCTCGACCCCTCGCCCATCGATGAGATCCGCACCGGTACCTACCGCCAGCTCTTCCACCCCGAGCTTCTCATTAGCGGAAAGGAGGATGCTGCCAACAACTATGCCCGTGGTCATTACACTATTGGCAAGGAGATGATTGACAATGTCGTCGACCGCATTCGCCGTGTTGCTGGTAGGCGCATCCATCCCTGATTCAACGCTTGGGAAGGCCATTGCTGACACGAAGTGATAAGACAACTGCCAATCGCTCCAGGGCTTCCTGGTTTTTCACTCTTTCGGTGGCGGTACAGGGTCTGGTTTCGGTGCTCTCCTCCTCGAGCGCCTGTCGACCGACTACGGCAAGAAGTGCAAGCTGGAGTTCACCGTTTACCCGGCGCCGCGCCTTTCTTCCGCCGTTGTTGAGCCCTACAACGCTGTCCTTTCCACCCACAGCACCATCGAGAACTCGGACTGCACCTTCCTGGTTGACAACGAGGCTGTGTTCGATATCTGCCGCAAGAACTTGGACATTCCCCGACCGAGCTACGAGCATCTCAACCGCCTGATTGCCCAAGTCGTCTCTTCCATCACCTCTTCGCTGCGGTTCGATGGCGCCCTGAACGTCGACCTGAACGAGTTCCAGACCAACTTGGTGCCCTACCCGCGTATCCACTACCCCCTGATCAGCTACGCCCCTGTCATTTCGGCTGCCAAGAGCGCTCACGAGAGCTTCAAGGTATCCGAGTTGACTTTCCAGTGTAAGTGCCTATTGTTCTTGCGTTTAGTTCCCCGTGTGGGTGGCCGAGCTAATTTTCTCCGCTAGGCTTCGAGCCCAACAACCAGATGGTTGTCTGCGACCCCCGCAAGGGCAAGTACATGGCCGTCGCCCTCTTGTACCGCGGCGATGTGGTCCACCACGACTGCGGCGCGGCCGTCGCTCAGCTCAAGGCCAAGGCCTCGTTCAACCTGGTCGAGTGGTGCCCGACAGGCTTCAAGATCGGCATCAACTACCAGAAGCCCGTCGCCGTCCCCACCGCCTCCCCGGAGGACGGCGGCCTCGCCTCGGTCGACCGCTCCGTCTCCATGCTGTCCAACACCACCGCCATCGCCGAGGCCTGGTCGCGCCTCGACCACAAGTTCGACCTCATGTACAGCAAGCGCGCCTTCGTCCACTGGTACGTCGGCGAGGGCATGGAGGAGGGCGAGTTCAGCGAGGCCCGCGAGGACCTGGCCGCCCTCGAAAAGGACTACGAGGAGGTTGCTGCCGACTCGACCGAGTTTGAGGAGGAGGAGGCCGAGTACTAAAAGCGGCTGGTACCGTTGGCGGCGGCGTAATTTACGGGTCGGCGCAGACGAGCGAGCTCTGTGGGCGTAGTGGGTGGTGGGTGGTGGGTGGTAGCCTTGTCAGCTTCCCTGGGGATGAAGGCGAAATGACAGGAGTGAATGATGGCTGATGGCTGATGATGATGGACTGCTTTTTGCGTCGCATGCGTACATGAAGATGTCTATGAAGATAATATCCCCCAGCAAGCCGTGTTCTTACTGCTTCTGGCACTTGTCCATTTAAGAGATAGCACCAAATGTGGATAGGGGTCTTGGTGGTTTGGGTGACTGCCAGTTCCTTGATTGTTATGTTTCTAGACGTCCCATGATACTTTCTGTTGGCGGCATAATGCCGTTATCACGAGAGCCTACCGCGTTTTCCAGATGGAAGCTGAGGAGGGCGAACCGTATCCATCATGCTTCAGTCCAATCAACTGTTCTATTTCTCTTCCGCTGGAGGTACGTAGTTGCGATCAAGGGGGGCAATTGTACTATTAACTGGGCGACAAGCCAATACACAGCGAGGCTCCCATCGGCAACTATCCGTCTATCGCAAGCATCCGTACCGAGATATACAGTATACACATAGGTACAACCGATCAACACCTTTCAACACATTTATTCCCACAGCAAACATCTGGCTCCCTCAGCCCTTCCGCTAGTATTTTCCAACCTTGCCACCCCTGCCCTTCTTATTAGGCGGCTTGGCCTTGGTCTTCCCCTTCTTGAACTTCAAGTCCTTGGGCTTGCCGTCCTTCGCGCTGGCGCGCCGCCCCTCAAAGACGAACTGCTCCGGCCCCTTGATCCCGCTCGTCTCCCCGCCCGCGGCCTCGCCGCCGCGGTTCACAAACCGGTCGCGCCGGTCCCGCCTCTTCTTGTTGTTCAGACCGGGAGCCTTACCCGTGAGCTTCGCCGCGCCAAACCGGCCGAGCAGTTTGCTCGCGCGCCCTGCGAGGGTCTGGGACTCGGCCGTGGGCTTGGGCACGTACTTTCCTTCGCTGTTGCTGCCGGTGCCGGGCTTGCCGCCCTTGCGGTCGGAAGCCGCGGGGGCTCTTTGGTTGCGTGCCTCCATTGCGCGGGCTGTCTTGTGCGGGGCTTTGCAGCGGGTGACGCGGAGTTCGCGCGGGAGCATCGGGGGGAATTTCTTGCCGTTGATGAGGATCGCCGATTCGACTGAGTTGCCGTCCTGTGGGCGGGGTTAGTTAGCGGTTCAAGGGTGGCGTGGACTAGGGGATGAACTAACGTAGAACTGGACGTAGGCGAAGCCCTTGCCTACGCGGGTCGCGGCGTCTCGCACGACGCGGACACTCTCAACTTTGCCGCCCTCTTTGCCAAAGACACGCCAGAGCCCTTCCTCGACGTCCATTGGTGTCTTGGTCCGTTTGCGCCGCTCACCCACCTCTTTGCCCTCTTCATTAACTTTGACGTTGTATACGCTCTCGTCATCTACGAAGCCGAGGTTACCGACAAAAACGCAGCGGCGATGATCGACAGCTGCCGGGTGGGCTACGCTATCAACACGGAGATGCCGATCAAGCACAACGGTGCCATTCAGCTGCGCCACAGCGAGCCGCGCCGCCGCAGTGGTACTATAGACGGCGTAGGCATTGGTAGACTTTGTGGTGGCCTCCAAGACTTCCTTCTTAATGAATGCAGCGCGTTTCGGTATCCCTGCCGACTCAAAAGCCGTCGAGCGGAATCGTATCGATTCTACCTTTTGAGGCGGGTCTGCTTTCTTGTCAAGGATGGACGAGAGGTGTTTGAGCAGCGTTTTCTTGGCCTTGCGCGAAGTAATCGCTTCGGCTGCAACGTTGCTGAGGAAGACGGTGCGGTTCGCCTTCTCTAGCTCGGATACTGCAGGGCGGGCAGCGACTGATTCGTGAACGGGCACGTCACCTCCTAATTCGTCGTCGTCCTCCTTTTCAACCTTGGAAGCTGTCGGCACCACATCCTTCTCCGTCGAGTCTGCCTTGTGCCGCTTTCCCGACGGCTCTTCTTCGTTTGCCAAGCGCTCGAGGTAGTTGGCCTCGAGGTCCTCGTCGTCATCTCGTTGTTTCCGTTTCCGTTTCCGTGCCTCGTCTTGAGATGGGCCACGTGTAGCGGCTCTCTCTAGAACCTCTGCAGCTGCAGTTTCGTCGTCCGCGCTTGAAGCGGCGTCGGCTTCATCATCTCCAGAGTCATCTTCGCCAGACAACATATCTTCGTCATCATCCGAACCTTCGGAGCCCAATTCAGCGCCGCCCTCGTCCCCCGATTCCTCCTCGGAGCCTTCTACTTCCTCGCTCTCCGAGGCGTCTTCGTCCTCCTCATCTCCCTCGTTCTCGGGAGTCGCCCTCGGCCTTTGTGGAAGTAGATCAACGTAGCGCGACTTCGGAGGTGTTTTAACGGCTCCGGCCTGGTAAGGTATTAGAATTGGTTCGACTAGCTATGTCAGGGGTTACTCACGCTGTGGGAAAACAAAGCATCCAAGGTGGGGTCAATCGCCTTGGAAGAGACAGACAGACCGGATTTGCTGTAATAGTAAGATACATCAGTATTCCCGTGCCGTAAAAAAAACACCCAGAAAACCTATTTCAAAGTCATACCTTTTGGCCATTCTGCTGTATGTTGGCGTTTCGATGCACGCTCACAATGGATGGGGGAGTTGGCAGCTGGTTGGTCGGCTCGATAGGAGCAGAAAGAAAAGCTGAAAAGCTTCGTCCGTGATTCAGGTTCAGGTGTGGATACTTCCCTGAAGAGTTGTAGAAAACGGGTCGAAATAATGGAACTTCCGACCTGGACAGAAACGGGCAGTCCAGCAATACCTTCTTCCTCTTCAGCACCCAGAGCATGGTGGGAAGGTCCTCTCACTGTGCCGAAAATTCGCTTATCGCTCCTTATCGGAAACTGCCGGGAAACACCGCTTTCCAGGGTCGCAGGAACTCGGCCGGCGGGCAAGCAGCTCTCGGTCATCCCGCCCGTCTGTGCTGCTCTGTCGCTCCTGTTCCCATCTTCTTGGTCAATACAGGGCACCACCAAACTTTCCAATCCTACCCACCACACATGCGCTCAGCCCTTTTGCGTGAGATTGACAGCAGTAACGCACCGTATTATTCTGGCTTCATCGACAAACTTTATTTATCTCTTTCGGCGCCCTCGTCATTATTACTCTTCCGGTCGCAACCGCTGCCGACAGCAAAGCCGCCCGCTCGCGGAACCCGTCGAGTTCATTTTTGCGCGACCCTACTTTCTCGGGCACAAACGCCCACGGCGTCATTGGCACAATATTTAGCGATTCACCATAAACCTAACTGCATGGTCTACGATGGCCACAGGTGATACCGCGCCGCCTTTGGCACTGTCGAGCCCGCCCCCGCCCTTGCTGGACAACAGCCCCAGCAGCGTCTCGAGCCCCCTTAGCGAGCCCGAAGACAAGGACGGATATGGCGACGAGGTGGATTTAGACATGCGCGACCTCAGCGATGGCCACGACGCCCCGAATCGGAATGGTACCCAAGGCGACCCCGACTCTGACGCCGCCTCCGAGTCGGACGACGAAAGCAAGCTTTCGGAGGTGGACGTTAATGATTCAGAGGCCGAGACAGAACGCCTTTACGATACCCCGCCAAAGAATGGCGCGACACGCGACATGTTGAATACGACTGGTGAGGGGAATCGGCGATTTACAGACCGCCGAGACCGAATTTTCGAACGAAGCCCGAGCAAGCTACACCAACAGCTGCGTGCCGACATTGAGACCGGGGACGTGACTAGCAGTCACAATTCAGTCTCCGAAGGAGAGGACGGAGAGGACGACGACGTGTCAATACCCTCCAGCGAACCTGAGGTGGACTCGGCCAAAGAGCCTCGGCGCCGGGCGGCCACACTGGCCAAGAAGAGCCAGACTGCTCCCACCAAAGACGCGCCCACTTCACACCCAAGAAAAAACTCGGCCGATTCTCGGAAACGGAAGCGCTCCTCTGCGACCGAGCACTCGGAATCCGACCAGCCGCTGAAAAAGCGGACCGGTTCGGTTAGCGCGGCCGACCAGGAGTCTCCCGACGAAGTTGCTATGGCTGACGACGACGGTCTTTCGACAAATCCACAAAGCGGCAACCACACTGCTGAAGAGGACAACGAAGAAGTTGTCGCTACGACGGAGGCTAAGGAGGAGCTTCCCGACACGGGCGATGAAGACCTCGTCGTGTCAACTAGGTCCCGGAAAGGGAAGCGCAGTCCGACGAAGAAGCAAAAAAGCAAAAGCCCAGGGGAAACCACAACGAAGGAAGAAGCGCCAGACGAACCTCCAGAAGATGCCGACGCGCAAAGCCTAGAGGTGCCCACCCCGCAAGCCGAGGATGACCACGCCGACGAAGTCGACGAGGAAGCCGAGGCAGCACACCGTAACGAGGAAGAGTGTACGTAGCCGCCAGCCCTCTTTTTCGCCTTGGCCAAAGCTAACTGGGCAGCAGTGGAACGGAAAAAAGCGGCGTGGGAAGAGCTAATAGGGATCGAGAAGCAGTTTAGCAGTTTCCGAGAACGGTCTGTACATTGTTTGACCATACACTTCAACGTTCAAATGCTGATACCCTATACAGATTATACCAGGAACGGCTAGAGCAGCTCAACCAGGAAGAGGCCATGCTTACGAGCGACAATCCGACGCACCCCGAATATCTCGCGATGCTCCAGTGCCTTGAGGAGCGGCGGGCGGAGAAAATCAAGAGGAGCGGCCTTGAGTTGCAATTCAAATTGTCGGTCCTCCGACACCGAGCAGTTGCGGAGCGTGCGCAGATCATGTCCCAGTTCTACCAGGCTGTGCGCGAATCGAGAGACGAGACGGTGACAGAGCTGGGCGAAGAGTGGTACCAAATTCAACAAGAACGCCGGCGGGCGGCGAACACAATACCGGACTATGGGATTCGATTTCCCGCTACGAGGCAACAAGCCCTTAGAGACGCCGTCTCTTACAACAGGGAAGTCTCGATTCTTTCCGGCTTCGCCAAGCACGTCGGCTTCCCCGCGGCACCATCGATCAACGGCGCTTCCGAAGAACAGATGGAGGCGGATTTGGAGGCTATTCAAGTGAGTTTTGGTACTGATACCGGTTGTGCGGGTTAAACCGAAGCTAACAGTGACACCAGAGCATCCGTGAGCCAATACTGAGGCAGGCATCAAACCAAGCGGCCCCCTTCCGGCCGGAATACCCGGGAGGTCTCGCCTCGTTCGTACAAGGGCTTGGTGCCGCCGGCGAGCAGTTTATTGAACAAACGCCGTGGGCAAACCCGAACCACCCATCCCACCGGGCGCAGCAGCCACAAGCGCACCGTGACAACGGTTTCCAGCCCACGTTTGCCGGCCCGTCGTCGGCGCCGAAGAGGCATTCGAATCAACCGGGGGGTTTGTTCTCGTCAAGCACGACTACCATTCTTAACGGCGATTCCCCGGTACAAGTGTCAAAGGCTCAGTCGCCAGTTGTGCCCGAGTCGTCTCTTAAGGGGAAAATGGGCCCAGAGGCCCTCAGGCGAGAGCCTGTCATTCATGCATCTTGATTTTTTTTTTTCCTTCTTTCCTTTTTTCGTTTCATTCATCTTGAGCACATCCTTGGAGGGCAAGCGGTTTTCATCGCCAAAACTTAACGGAGTTTAGCGCCAGGCATTGGGGAACCCCATGGAACTTGTATCATGGCGGCTGAGCATTTCCACCGCGATTTGCGTTTTTCTTTTTCAGACTTTTCGGACTGGGCATTTGACGTGGCAAGGAAGGATACGGTCTGGATTCTCGGATCGACTAATGTCGTATAGATGAGGCATGTGTATGGATGAGGATGTGTACAAACAGCCGGTTTTGCCCATCGCGGGGTTGTATTTGGTCGGGGTTGTGGTGCTTGTTTGGATGCGTAGGACCCAGCGCGCGGGGATACCAGGTGTTGTTGTCTGAGTTATTGTTGTCCGGGCTAGACGCCCGGCGGGAAGCCATCGCTGTGTTTGAATCGAAAATAGATTCCCCAACTCCATGTTAGTGTGTGTGTGTCGATTGTACATGTAAAGTAATACAATTGCTGTTCCAACGACAACCCATTGCTCTCACTATGCAGGCGACGAACGGTATGTCCCTCTCCACCATGTTGGTACGAGCAAGCCCCCCTCCCCCCTTCATTTGTTCGCATTTTGGGAGGTAGGCTTTACTGGCACATCGGGAACCTTGACATCCTCGAACTCGTCTTGGCCGATCGCGTTGATGGTGTAGGCCCCTAGACAATCCTGGGGTCAGTCAACCGGAGCTGGGAGAAGCTACAAGCTGTAAGGCGGGAAGGCGGGGGGCGGCCGTACAGATACCAATGGCAAAGGCGGAGATACTGAGCCCAACCACAGCGTTCTTGACCAAGTACGGCCGCCGGGCCCGGATCAGGGCGGCTGACTGGCGGTTGCGGTTGTCGTAGTAGCTCGAGCGTGAGAGTCTTTTGCGGCGGTCAGAAGAGGGGGGGCTTGGTAACTGGAATGCAGGTGTGGCGGTTGCAGTAGTGGCGGATGATGAACGGTGGACTTACACCATGGCTGCGTTATGAGGGCGCTGTGGGTGCTTCCACACAACGGTTGGTGATGTGATCTTTAACTGGGGAAAATGAAGGCGAGCATCGGATGTTGCCGCGTGGGTTGTGTGTGGTGATGAAGCTTATCGCAAGCAGGCCAATGGGAAGGCGGGCGCATTCCCGCAGTGAAACGGTCCGTGCACCCTGTAGCCCTTGGCTCCTTTCACGTCACCTTGCTTCAAAGCGCGTCTCGCACCTTGCAAGGCTGGAACAAAGTCAAACTCCAACTCACCACAATCGCCGAATCCATTTTCCAACCTTTGACCACGACCACTGAATCTGCTGAAACGACTGGAAGAGGGAATCACAGATTGAGACGATCGTTGAACCGCATCACGCAAACATTGCTGACAGTGGAATTGATGAATCTGGTCATTTCTGATGCCATCAACCTCTGCCTCTGCCACACAACTTGACTTTTCCAGATTTGCTCCACTGGCACTCGACAACCTGGGATGTCGCAGCGCAGTATGACTTGACCTCTGCCTTTGGGTTTCGCAAGTCGTTACTGGAGATTTGACGTTTCGGAGGTGATCGTTGTCTGTGAGCTGCAACAGTACCTGCTTTTACTTAGCTCTCGTTCAGCGCATCGGGGCATCATCTGAGCGGAGGCATCATTTGGGACCAGCACAAGCTGCAATACATCGCGCTGGCCTGGTCGACCACCAACCAACCTAGACTGCCTTGTCCTGTCCCCTTTGCCCGTCCAAGCATCAGACAGCGCTCTTTGTAGAATCTTTTGCTGCTTTACCCCCACCTTCACCCTCTCGACAACAGTTCCATCGTGCAACACCCAACGCTTCTTCTCCGTTACCCTCCCCCCGAACCACCAGAGAGAGGCACGTGAGCGAGGGCAACGCAACAAACAACCACCATCATGGCTGCCGATTCCACCTCGACAGCCCCCTCGGGCAATGGAATCTCGGTCGCGGAGCAGCTGGAGCAGCTCGGCGCGGCCCGCAAGCTGGTGCTCGAGAACGCGACCTACTACGACCGCATCGTCAAGGGCGTGCTGCCCATCATCGGCCCGACGGCGCCCGTCGAGCTGCGGCGATGGGGCGCCGAGTTCCTGGCCGAGTCCCTCGCCACCCCCGTGCTGTCCATGCGCGACAAGGAGAACATCACCGTCGCCGTGCTCGACACCATCAAGGGCCTGCTCGACGCCCCTGGCGAGGACGTCATCGTGCTCAAGGCGAGCATCGCGGCGGCTGCGAGCGCGTATCCCGTTGCCGTGAGGTGGATGTGAGTATTCTTTTTTTTCTGTGGGAGGGGTTGTCGGGTAGCCTCGTTGGGAAGGGGGAAAGGGGGTTGGAGGGGAGAGTGCTTGTTGCATGCGACGCCTGATTCTTCTGGTGTGCCCCTGATCCCTGGGCGTTGGTATTTTACCGTGGTGCTATGTATCCAGATCAAATAGGGGGCGATGCTAACCCGGCTGTCTTAGTATCAACAACTCCTACCACACCGAAAGCTGGGAACAAATGTCGGCCGTCAAGTCGAGGATATTACGTATCTGGGATGGGGCGCCGGTACCGGTTAAGCTGAGCTGCATCAAATTTGCCCAGCGGGTTGTGCTTGCGCAAACGGCGTCGAATGGGACAGAGCAAAAGGTTAGTGGTGGCCGGTGCCATGATGCGGTATAACAAGCGCTGACCTAGGACACGCAGTACAACGGACTCGACATCTCTCTCAACATGATACCGCCGAACCATCCCCTCCTAGATCCCCGGCAGTTGGAGGCTGAAGCGACTGGACTTCTGGATAGAATGCTGGGCGTGTTGCAGGACAACAGCAGGTGGGCTACATTGTATAATCGCACTGTGGGAATATTGACAACTGACTTCCTTCCAAAGTGATGCTCTACTTGTTGATGCCACCATCAACTGTCTTTCCATCCTCACTCGGTCCAGGCCAAATACATCAAATCGCATCCTCAACACAGTTCTCAACTACAATCCGCTAAAGCTAGCCAACTCCCCGATGACATCGAAGACCAGGGTGCTTGTTAGGTCTTTAGAAAAAACTACCCGCATGTTCCTGACTCATCTCCTTAGGCGGTAAGCAACATCATGGCTATAGTAGCGGAAGGCCCACTCGGCTAACAATTTGCCAGTGACCCCAATAATCCCATGTCGGGGCGGATTCAGCAATATGTCGAGAGGCTGATGCGGTCACGGGCCGAAATATTCGATGAGGCTGGTCGTAAAAGAGCCCTTGCCGATCAAGCCGTGGCGGGTTATGGTGACGCCAAAAGACAAAAGGTGGAAGCCGGCGCTCCTCAGTTTTCAGTTCCTCCTCTAGGACCGGGGCCGCATACGCTTGCCGGCGTATTCACACTCACAAACAACGCCGGGTTGCAAGCGTTCGATGCCACGCAGTTACCGGCGAATCTTGCCGCCAAGATCGGTGTCAGGACATTAGCCGCCCTCGATCAGAATGTCTTGGACCTGGCTCTCAACGTAAGTGGTCTCAACAACGCACCCAGTGACCCTCGTATACCAGTACCGACTGACCTTACTAGGGTATCCGGGATCGCCTCACTTCTCTCCACGCTGCAGGGGCTGCCGCGGCAGCAGCGGCTCAGCCTGGCGTGCTGAACGCTGCCACGGCTCCGTGGGTCGTCGAAGAAGACGACGACGACGACTACGAGCCAGACCTCACCCCAGCCGAGGACACGGAACAGATCCTCAACAAACTCGACAATGCCCCACCAGAAGAGCTCATGGGGCATACCGCGGACGCCGGCGCCGAAATGGCCCTCGGCCCATTCAGCCTACCACCTCCACCTGCCCTCGATCCCGACGCCGCCGCCAAGCTCAGCCAAGCAGCTGCGTCCCGCGTCTTCGGACCGTTATCAACCCTCAAAGACCCCGGCGCGGCGGTGCGGAAACCCAAGGCGGGCATCAACCGCCTGGCCGCAAGCTCGTACGACCGCGATTCTTGGTTAACAGTAATCACCCGCCTCGCGACCCGCAGCACGGCCGGCCTCGATGGGGCACCCAGCAGCGGCATCAAGTCCGAAGAAGGCGCGCTCGACCGGCCCCGCGCGTCGCTTGGCGACAGCATTCGCGAGCTGCTCTTTACCTACATCCTTGAGGACTGGCGGCGGCGCATAGAGATCGCCGTCGCCTGGCTCTGCGAGGAGTGGTACAACGACCAGCTGACGAAACGGAACGGCACTGGCGGGGAGCTCAACTACGAGAAGTGCGCGCTGCGGCTGGTAGATGGGTGCTTGAGCTACATTACCGCTCAAGATAAGGTGCTAACACGGTTCCTGGCCGAGATCCCCGAGCTAAGCGCGCCGCTGCTGGGAAAGCTCAAGGCGCTCTGCGCCGACCCGACGACGGTACAGCTCGCGCTGACGAGCCTGCTGTATCTCGTGATGATGAGGCCGCCGGTGAGGGAGATTGCGCTGGATACCGTGGCGGAGATTTGGACCGAGTGTGAGTGCTTACCTAACCCCTTTTCCCTGGTATTGCGTTGAGGCTTAGACTGACTCACGGTAGATGAGGACGCGCGCCCCCTGGCGGCCAAGTATCTCGTCAAGTGGCGACCGGGGTTCATTGAATCGCAAACCCGGGGCGCTGGAAGCGATGCGGCGGCTGCGAACAACATGGCGATTGCGACATGAAGAACAAGACACGGAACATCGACGACGGGCACATCGGTATAATGTATGACTTATTATGTATTCTATCTCCACAGCTAGGGCCCGGAATGGGTTTAACCGGATGTACGAGGTCGAAGGTCATCAAAGCAAACTGTGGGTGAGGGCGGAGGCGTTGGCCAGGGGAAAAAAGGACCTGTATTGGTACGAGGTGACTATTAGTGACACGCGACGCGAAGACGCGACGTGTCGAAGATCCGTCATTGGCATAAACCGTCATATTACAAGCACAGATTTGGCAAACTTTACCTGCCATCCTCAAACATGTTGAGAAAATGACTGAAATGAAATAAATAAATAATAAATAATGTTTTCTCCGAAGGGTGTAATTTTGTATGTACGCTTCGCAATGAAAAGGTCAATCTGCTTGATCTCGAGTCAAGAAACAGAAACACAGCCATCGCATTGTTCCATGTTCAACAAAGCTGCAGGGAGTTCCCCATGACCGCCAGGCACAGACCTTCCACCAGAAAAGATCCCTGTCTCAGATTCCAACCCAGCGGGCCGAGCACAGGGGCTGATGAATTTGGCAGCCACTCACAATGAAAAGAACAGGGCCCCGCTCGAGAGGTTGCATGGTTGCTGTGGCAGTCGACTCGAGCATGTTTTGCAGCACTTTGCAGCGCGCTGGCCTCAAAGATGGTCGCAGTCTCGATGGATTGATCGTTTGGCAGCGGACCAACCGTACGTACCGTACCAACCAAAAGGTTGTTTTTGTCAAAGTGGTGCAGCTGCCACGAGGATAAAACAGAAGCGCTGTTGACCACCCACTTTTGCTTTGTTCATCGTTCCAGCTTCTGGACCTCTCTGATCCCTTCATCCCCGGAATTAATTTACATTGCCCTGTAAGCCACAGCTTTGCCTTGTCTGCTGTGCCAAGCAAATAAGAACATCTTAAACCGATCCCAAGGTCAACATCGTCCAAAAAGGCCCGAGATTCCGGCTGGTAGACGCATCGTCCTTCTCCTCGTCACTACCTATGTTGAGGATCTGTTTTCGCAATTACATGTGTGTGCGTGTATGAAATTCAAGTCAGCCAAACCACCTGACCCACAGAAGCAATTGAGACAACAGCCCTCTGTCGCCGAAGAGACCAGACCCGCTTTGAAGTGGGAACAAGCTCTGCCCCCCCTGGCACTGTTCTCCGTGGTGGTGCCTTCGAACCGAACCCAGACTCGCCCGTCTTCCAAGAAATGCGTAACAGACTTTTGAAGGTCCGGCCGCATTCCGATAAAAAGCCGGCCTTCTCAATCCACCGAGACGACCAACACAGTATGTACCCCCGCCTTGTGCCACCGACCAGAGAGATCCGCGGGACGAGTTCAATCTTATGTGTGCTCGGCAACGTGCCCTCGCAAACAGCAGAGTGTTGTGTCCGGGTAGCTGCAGTCGGGTTACGCGCTAGACAAGTCGTCAGGGCGTTGGACACAACTTCAGAGTTCAAGTTGGGATGATAATGCTAGCGGAGGCTAACTAACAGTGTGCAGCCAAAGATATCTCCCCCGCGACCGTTTCTCCACCTACGGCAACACCGGCGACAACCCCAACCAAGTCAACGCCGAGCAAGGCGTCGTCCAAGTCCTTGCATGAGCGCCCTTCGCCCCGGTCCACCCTCACACCTGCGTCCGAAGGCACAATAAACTCCGCTATGTCCCGGACAGCAACAAGCGGAACCAACGGAAAAGCGGTCCCTCCCGTAACCGCCTCATCTTTGTCCCCCCGCACCCCAAATCGCATGAACTCGACCATTCGAACAGTACCCAGTTTCGACGACAGGCAGATATACGCGGATGAAGATTCCGGCACAGACGGAACGCCATCACACTCAACATCGCGGGATTCGGGCTTCTCGAGCTCGCTCAATAGCACTGCCAGCATGGCATCGTCAAACTCGCCCCGGCGGATACAAGCGGCAACATCAACCGGGATACCCAGGAAGCCGTCATACAACAAATTAAAACTCAGCGCCTCAGAGACGGCGTACGATAGCGGCGATAACCATCTCGACAGCCTCCCCACCCGCGAGAACAGCCTCAACATGTCCAGCACAAACTCCTCGCTCCAACCACCCAACACCTCCGCCGACCCCGGCGGTGGCGGCGGCGGCGGCAGTTCCAGCTCCACCAACGACCCCTCTCTCACAGCGACCGAAGCCAACCTCTCCAACGGCTGGGACAACTCAGTAGGCAAGGCTGGGCTAGGCAAGACAGGGCGCGTAATCAACCGACTCGTCTCGGACAACGAGGCGCTCAAGCGCGACATCCAGATCGAGCGGCTGCGGGCCGAAGAATCACGACAAACCGCACGACTGCTCGAAGACAAGCTGGAGCGGGTGATCTCGGACTACGAGTCGCGGCTGCTGGAGGCCAACGTGACCAAGACGCTGCTGGCGCGCAAAGAGCGGCAGGTGGAGACGCTGCAGGACGCGGTGGAGCTAGAGCGGCAGCGGGCGGTGGACGCGGCGGCGCGCGAGCGCGTCTGGAAGGACGAGATGGACGCCGCCCGCGCCGACGCCAAGCGCCAGGTCGAGGACGCCACCAACTACGCCGCCCTGTGCGAGGGCCGCTACAACGCCATCAGCAGCCACTGGAAGGACCAGGGCGAGGAGGTGAAGCGGTCGGTGGCCAAGGTGAAGAGGGAGGTGGATGGCCTGGTGGTGGAGAGGAAGAAGGATGATGGGAAGATCGAGACGCTGCGGGAGCTGTGCGATCAGCAGGACGGGAATATTCGCGAGTTGAGGAGGCAGAAGGAGGAAATCGAGGCCCAGTTTGAGAGGTATAAGCGGGAGCAGGAGGAAGGGCTCAAGGATATCAAGCGCAAGGCTGATGGGAGGGAAAGGGAGCAGGAGCGCACGCTGCAGGAGGCCCGGGAGGTGCTGGATAAGCTGAGGTGGGCGCTGAGCGTGAAGGAGAAGATCGAGTGGGCTCAATAAAGGGGTTTGGGAGGGGATTCGTTAGGGGGGGTTGGTGGTCTCGCCGGCTTGGAGGGAAGGGGGTCGCCCCTCCTCCCCTTCCTTGGTTTCATTTTCTCCGGCGGGCTTTTTCCCCGCGATTCATGACATACATAATGATGATACCAGCCAGCAGACCGGGCAGAAAGGACTGACCGATAGACCAGTTTGTTTGTTTGTTGTTTGTTTTTGTCATCGTTTCTTTTCATCGGTTGGAGCACACAAAACAGGTACGCAAAGCAGGCACCAAAGCGGTCGAGCGAGCGAGCGAGCGTTTGATGCATGGATGGCGGCATACCAGCCACTTAGTTGGTTTGGAGAAATGCTGCTCCAGTTCTATTTCATGGATGATCTTGGGACTTAGGGATTAGGTATCCATTGGCAGGGAGTTCGGCGTTGCTGGGGATAAGTGAAGGTCAGGGTTTGGGAATCAGAGCAGAATCCGTCGTGCAATCATATTCAGAATAGCCAGGGGTCTCGACCTGCTTTGCGATATGGGAGTTCTTTTCAAATTGCGTAAGAGCCACAAAGCAGTTCATGCTTCCAAAGAAGGGTTGACGGTGTTTGCATTTTCAATAGTGTCGTTGGGTTGCTATGCAAGTCCTTGTGTTGGACGTTTTTCGCTTGGCAGGGGGTGTCTATTTGCCCTCAGGGATAGCAAGGAGTAGCACCGAAGCCAGCTTCCAGGCCTAGGTACCGGGTTTGCCTCACATGGGCAAGAAGCATCACGGTTTTTGTGAGAATCTATCTGCTCCTTGGTTCGATAACCTTTATGAGATGGGTCAAGGCAGCCCAGGCCACACCGGTTGAGTTGGCAACCCCCCCCCCTCCCCACGTCGCCCTCTTCGCTCCTTCCCTCAAAAGACATGAAGGGCAATCGGCAGATGGGATTCTGCAGCTGCTTTGTGGGACCCCCGAGCCACTTGGTCACTCCTAAGTCTCCCAAGTGCCAGAATCTTATGTGCCTTTTGTTCTTTCCTTCATGCACCTGCCCTCAAACTTCCCGGTTCCCCAAGCCCGCTGGCCAGTTCATCGGCTTGGGCAGGCTTTGTTTTACAGTCCTACCTTAAGTGAGCCCTCTCACTTGAAAAGGTTGCCAGGAAATAGATTACTCCCAGAAACCTGCTGTGGGATTGGTGAAATTTTCTATGCCGTCCCATCTTTCTGCTCTGCAGAAATTCACCTACCCACATCCCCCACCTCTTGCTGGACGCACCAACCTCTCTTCTCTTTTTCGCAATCTCAAACTCTTTGTTGGGTTGACTTTCTCACCCAGCCAAGCTGATTGTTACGCCATAAAAGATCTGACCTATTTGTTGCGTTTCTGCCGTCGCTTCGGCATCTGCCACGATGGACACCTCCCGTCCGCTCATGACCGAGTTTTACCTGACGACGCTGTGGACGTACACGCCCAAGGCGGTCGAGGAGGTGATTCGTGACATGGAGGCGAAGAAATTTGTAGATCTACCCTTTCTTTTTTGCAGGCCTTACACTAACCTACAGCACAGGAACGAGCCGAATTTGTCTATGACAGGGACTACAGTTGGTTCAAGGTCAGCTGTCGTGAGGACCAGGTAGACGAAATCCGTTGGCAGTTTTGCCTCCTCGCTCGCGAATTCGAAGACGATGTGTTCGATGACAGCGAAGAGGACTTGTTGAGCTTGGATGGCTCTCTCAAGGTAGGGCACAAGCTCATCGGTGGAAGGAACTCTGCGATCTTACTAACAGTGAACAGCCATCATTTGAAAACGAGTGGTTCACTCAAGATGACCCGCCTCCTGACGTCGGTGAAGTTGACGAGCAGTACTGTCGCCCCAGTGCCCTGGACAAGTACCCTTGCGTCGAGCTCTGGGATGACCTTGATAAGGGCAACGAGCCTTACTCATACTGGGAGATCATAACCCCCAATCAAGCTAGGGCGTTGGTATCTGAACTAGGCATCGCATTTTCTCCAGCCCTTGCCGGAAGACTGGTTTTCATTGGGGGTCACAAGAAGCAGTCCATTGGTGAAGCCATGGAAAGACTCAGAGTCCTGCTTAGTGTCAGGGTGAGTGATATCAGAATGGCGACCTAGCATGGGAAGCTGCTAACCGCTACAGAAACTTTCATCTCCTCCACCGAGAGTAGATCACCTCGTATATGCAGAGGATAGCCGCAGTCCAGTCACGCCCGGTTTGACGGCTGATATTCGATACCTGACCAACATCGACCCAAAGCTAGTTTCTTCGACCCTTATCGATCGGCTCCTGGTAGCGAACCTGGCAGACTCATACGAGATACTCTATCGGGAGGCATCTTCAATTCGCATCTGCCCTTGGTCCCCTCACAAGGGTTGTTACGTGTCCTTACTCGGCCCAAAGGTTGCCGCTCGACCAAGAGACAAAACAGCCCTGGGAAACCGGCCTGCCATATTTACCAGGATGATTGACAAGTATACGCCCACCAAAGAGCCCAACTTTGTTGAACAGAACCATATCGGCAGCGAGGCCAGCTTCCAGGTTGGGACTTGGGTTCAGAATGTTCCGATCCCTGAGGAATCTGTTAGACGGGCCGCGCACTATGTTCTCGACACCGGTTCTCAAGCAGCTGCCAACCCGTCCAGCGTACCAGAGCATGAGGATCTCATGGACTTCAATGACGACGAGACAACATTATGCCCCGGGTCTCCCACGGCCGCGACGTCCAGGACAGCAACCGGGACGCCAGCCTTAACGGGCGCGAAGACTGAAAAGTCAGCTTCTCGCCAACCTCCCTCCGCCCTTCGAGCGCAGCTGGGTGTGTCGAGAGCGAAGGAAATGATGGGCTCCCAAAACGAGGAGCTCGCATTCGCAGGCGATGGCAGTCTAATCGACATGCTTGCTGCTGTGGATACAAGAAGTGCTGAGGATATGCCGAGGTCAACAATCAACTGGGGGATGGCCCCTCTTATTCCGCTACCCGTGGATAACCCTGCGGCTGGGGCGGGTAACTCGACGCTGAACTTGACATCCAACCTTCCGATGAGCCGCGGTGTTCCGCAACAAGGGACCTCTGCCGAGGACAGCCCGGGCGAGATTCTGACGGAAAAGCACACAGCTACACGTCAAGTTAGCGGTGGTAATACTTCGCAGTCACATGGGCTCACTAACCCCAGCGCACAGCTGAGCCTACGGCCAGCTCCTTGGCCCGGAACCGGAGCGTCGGGTGGCCTTCCCGTCGCCGGAGGTTTTGTCAACGAGATACACGCAGCAATGGCCAAGCTCTTAGTTACGGGCCCTTATCGCCGTGGCAAAGTCGAAGTAAGAGCCGAGTTCGGGCGCATCATCCTCGAGAAGGTGGATAAAACTGGTTTGGCATTCAACAACGAGAGTACACCCAGTGAAGGGTGGGAGAAAGCGATGTTGCTGCAACGGCTGAAGAGCGACTTTGGAGGAAACCAAAATATCCACTTCACCAAAATTCTTTCCGCGTATGCCCCCAACATCGAAGACATGATCAACATCGAGGTTGAAGGGGCTCCGATTTGGGAGAACAAGCCAAGCTGCGCTTCCACGACGTATTCTTTTTATTGTGCATTACGTTTGTCAAAGCATATTCCCCCGTTTATTGTCGACATTGAGGATGATGGCACACTCAGCGCCGAGCTATCCTACTCGATTCGTCTAAACGACAACGTGCAGGAGTGGGACAAGCCAAAACCCATTTACGTCCATGCAATCTGTCGACACTGGGATTTACGGATGGTAATGAACCACGTCAAAACTGACGAGGTAGAAGCCGTGTACGGCTCCTACGCGCGCTCTCTGATGCAGTCGCTAAGCATCCTGTATGTGAAGAGCCCATCTTACAGAGTCCAATGTGGGTTTATGCTGACAACGTCCCTAGACGCAACGAGAATGGCGCTTTGGAGCTCCAGTTTGCAGTACCCACTGAATCCTTCATGGACGTGAGGGAGGTCCGGATTCTGACCAAGTGGCGTCATGCCAGTGTCGACCGCCATAGCGCCCTCGAAATCACTGAGGTCCAACAAATGAAGACGGAACCGTACTCGGGCGGTCCGTATTCTAAAGCTTCCTGGAACTCGTACGAGGGAAAGCACTCCCGCCCCTGGTCAAACAGGATGATCAAAGACAGCAAGGGCGAAGTCGCGCGGTGGTACGAGGCTGCTGTGGTCTCCGCCGAGCTGGAAGACATGTGTCGACAAAATGCGCTTCTCAAGGTTGGCATAAAGGCTGACTGGGAAGTTGAAGATCTCGAGCACCGCGGCGTGTTTGCGGCACTCTACGCCCCGGCCCTGCATATGGTTAGGGCGATGGACCATGTTGGCAGACTAGACGACAACAACCTTTCACAGACCAACGGCCACTTGCTGCGCCAGCCCAACGACCGGCCTCCTCCTCAGGTGGTTGGATCGTCTGTGGTAAAAATGGGCAACAAGAAGGGTCGGTAAGCAGGCTTTCTGAGTGGTCCAGGGGTGTATTGGGGCGAGGCGGTGTATTTGTGAGCGCTGGCAAGGAGTCTTGATTTTCTCCCTGTTACCTTTGATTCGGCGTCGGGTTAGAGGATGGGTGAATGGGTTGGCGGGCGGATGAGAGCATATTTGCGAAGCCGCCAATGTACGGTGCACAACGGCGGGTCGATGTTCAGGTTGAGCTGCTAGCAATACTCGAGCGTTTAGGTACTGGAGATGGCGATGAATTAGTGTTTTGTTTTGTAACGTATAATACGCTGCCGCACTGCCGCGGTCGCCGAAATGACTGGGCCTCTCCTCTCCGACGTCCCTCTCATGTGCTCCCAATTTCCCCTTTCCGCTTGTCTTTTTCGCTTTCCCCGTTTCTTCCCCAAGTATCCCTGTATCTACTGATAATTCTCTTTCATCAGGAATGATTTTGAGGAAAAGAGGCCGTTAGGGAACCTTGCTCTGTCATTTCAGCTACCTATCGAGCTTGCCTGCACATTGTCAGGACAACCCTTTGGTCCCTTTCATTCCAAATGACGGGGCCACAACGGCCTCCGGTGATGACAAGAGTCAGATCACTATCGGGGGAACACCACGTTGCAAACGTAGTATGCATAGTCCGTTATCAATGGTTGTTGGAAAGCTCCTCCTGATGTTGAGAGTCCCCTTCTTGTTCCTTCTCAGGGGTTGTTGGTTGGTCTCAGGGGCTCACTCCTTGAATCAGGGGCTGGAGCTAATGCCAAGAACAAAACACCACCAAGTAAATAATAAAAGCAGCCAGACAACGCCGTTGCACCCCGATTACCTTTCCCACGGTCAGAAACGGGGTAACTCCAACACCGCGCCCTTCCATTGGCAGATGCGACACCTCGCACTTTGAGGTGCCGGATGCAGCACTGAAATGGCGTCATAGGTCACCCCGGCTGCCGAATGCGTCTCCCCCCGCAAATAAGGTGAGAGACAGGGCGGATGGCGCGATTCGGGCGCGTCGGGGGTGCATTTGAGGTGCATTGGGGTTGAGTTTTCCATGTTTAAAAGTTCCCCAATCTGATAGGTTCCCCCCACGCCCGCTTTCCTTTGTTGCCTGCCCGAGCTGCCACTTGCTCCTGCAGCCTGCCCACCGAAGTTGTATGTGATGCAGTAAGCTGCTCCCGGGGACAGGGGGGGTTGAGGAGGAGAAACAAGGCCCGAATGATACCGCCAAAGCTGTGCAACAGAGCTGCAGGCCCGTCCCGAGGTCTGATCGCCCAGCTGGAGACGGGGTTGCATATTCGGGCCTACCTTATATATATTGACTTGCATGCCCCGCCCGCCTGCACTCTCGATAACTCTTCAAACCTTAACTGCCTAGGTACATACGGTACCTAAGGAGATCGTAAGCAGTTCGAACTGCTCGCTCCCATCGTTTGCCAGGCCCCTCCGCAACGCCAACATGGCCGACATTGACACGGGCAGCAAAGCGCCCTCGGTAGGCAGAGACTCTAAGGCGTTCCCCCACGCCCAAGACGATGTCTCCCTCCACTCGGCCGACAATCTCAGCGCCATCCTCCCCGAAGGCCAAGTCGACCCGGTCTACGAGAAGAAAGCAAAGCTTCTCAACCGCGCCGTAAGCCCACCCCGACTTTAACCCCCCCCCCAAAAAACCCTCAACAGACACCATCCCTAACCCTTTACGCACACAGATCCAAGACATCGGCATGGGCTGGTACCAATGGCAGCTCAGCGCCGTCATCTCCTTCGGTTGGGCCTCGGACAACCTCTGGCCGATCGTGACCTCACTGATCTTCACGCCGGTGAAGAACGAGTTCGGCCCCGCGCGCCCCCCCCTGCTCACGCTCAGCCAGAACATCGGCCTGCTCGCGGGCGCGCTGTTCTGGGGCTTCGGGTGCGACGTGTTCGGGCGCAAGTGGGCTTTTAACCTGACGTTGGGTATCACGGCGGTGTTTGGCATGGCGGCGGCCGGGTCGCCGAGTTTTGCGGCGGTGGGCGTGTTCGCGGCGCTGTGGTCGTTTGGGGTGGGTGGGAATCTGCCGGTGGATTCGGCAATTTATCTCGAGTTTTTGCCAGCCTCGCATCAGTATTTGTTGACGGTGCTGTCGGTGGCGTGGGCGATTGCGCAGGTGGTGGCGACGCTGGTGGCGTGGCCGTTGTTGGGGAACTTGACGTGTCAGGAGACGGATGCGGATTGTAGGCGGGAGGAGAATATGGGGTGGCGGTGGTTGTTGATCACGATGGGCGGGCTCACGGTGGTGATGTTTGTTATTCGGTTTTGGCTGTTTACGATTTATGAGTCGCCCAAGTATCTGATGGGGAAGGGGCGGGACGAGGACGCGGTGCGGATCGTGCACGAGGTTGCGAAGCGGAATGGGAAGGAGACTAAGTTGACACTGGAGGATTTGAGGGCTTGCGAGCCGGAGGGGTACGTGCGCCAGGCAAAGGCCGCCGAGGCAGTCAAGCGCAAGCTTGAGGATGTCAATCGTAAGTTTGGATCTGCTCTCTGTCGCTCGGTCTTCGAGCCTGGGGGTGGCTCCTGGTGACTTAGTGGGGAGGCAAGGAAAAGCTGACATTGTTTTTGCAGTCGACAGGATAAAGGCGCTGTTCGCAACGAAGAAGCTTGCGTTATCGACGGGGTTGATCATGGCTGTCTGGGCGTTCATCGGGCTAGGGTATGTTGATGTCCTGCTGGGGAGGTTGAGGAGAGCTGACAAAAACAGGTACCCCCTCTACAATGCCTACTTGCCATTCATCCAGGCCTCGCGTGGTGCGGATTTTGGAGACGGTTCGACATAGTAGGTTACATCCGGCGGCTCCTGATCTCCTCGATATCCTCCTCGGGGGAGCACTGGCTGACATGTCCTCAAGTCTCACGTACCGGAACTCACTGATCATCGCCGTGGTCGGTATCCCTGGAGCGATACTCGGTGGATTCTTGGTTGAACTGCCGAACTTTGGACGCAAGGGCACACTCGCGGTCTCGACCATCTTGACTGGCGTGTTCCTGTACGCGTCGACGACGGCGCTCAACTCGGCGGCCCTCTTGGGTTGGAACTGCGCTTTCAACTTCACTTCGAACGTCATGTACGCCGTGCTGTACGGGTATGTAAAATAGGTTTTGGTTATTACCACTGCGGCCGCCTTTTGCTGACACTTAGGGTAGATTCACTCCGGAGCTTTTCCCGACGCCGCAGCGGGGGACGGGGAACGCCCTCACTGCGACCTGCAACCGCATTTTTGGTATTATGGCGGTAAGTAGATTCTATCCAACACTAATGGCTTGATTTTGAGCTAACACAAAACGATACAGCCCATCGTGGCCATGTTTGCCGACCTTCAGACTGCGGCGCCGGTGTACACCAGCGGGGCATTGTTCATTGCTGCTGGTCTGTTGGTTGTTGTATTGCCGTTTGAATCGAGGGGGAAGGCAGCCTTGTGAGGCAGCGATGGCGTTTCGGAACGAATTGTCTGCTGGCCTTTTTTTGGTTTTGCATATACCATCGAGTACATGTAATGGGAGTATTCGTATGCCCAAAGCATCAGATTGGGCTGTAAATGGCATGCTGCCCCGCTCAACCCTGCCCGACAAGATGATGCATCTCCAGTCTTAGGCCTATTGATTAGGATACTGTTGACTCCCATTGGGTAACCGATCGGGGCAGGTCGGAGCCGATGTCGATATTGCGCATGCGTCTCCGCGGCGTATGTAATGTATGTACAACACCTGAACACTTCATCAGTGGGATCCACTCGCCAAGCCCGAAACATACTATGTAGTGTACGATCGACTGTCGTCAGCAACCCTCATCCTTCCTCGTACAACCACTTCTCTGCCATCCATATATCTCTCAACCCCAACCGTGCTCAACCACACTGAAGCAGGCACATTACCGAGCAATTCTCACACACAGAGACAACTTGCCCGCAACACTCAAACCAACCTCCATTCCCACTTCACACTCAACCCTCACCAACACAACACCACACACCCACCCCACCACCCAAACCAACCGAACCCAAACACCACCCAAAATGTCCTCTTCCGACACCCCCACCACAATCCACCGCCTCACCGCCGGCACCGCCCTGCTCCTCTCCTCCCTCACCGCCGGCCTCTCCCTCTCCCTCTCGCTCTTCCTCACCCCGCGCCTCCTCGAGTCCCCCACCCCGCTCATGCTGCAGCAATGGCGCCGCACCTATGCCCGCGGCGCCGCTGTCCTCCCCCCGGCGGCGCTGGTTGCGGCTGCGGGGTATCTTTGGTTGGGGTTGGGGTTGGGATCGAGGGTGGGGGGGGGTTGGGGAGGTCGAGGTTGTATGTGGTTGCGGCGGGGCTGACGCTGGGGATCGTGCCGTATACGGTGGGGGTGATGCAGGTGACGAAATGGGAGGTTGAAAGGGGTTGGGGGAGAGGGTGAAGGTGAGGGAGGAGAAGATGGAGAGGGAGGAGGAGGAGGAGGAAGCGGTTACGGCGGTGGAGGTGCAGGAGGAGGAGGGGGAGGAGGGGGTGGTTACTGTGGAGGAGGAGAGGACGGCGAAGGGGTTGGTGGATTGGTGGGGGGTGTTGAATTTGGGGAGGGCCGCGTTGTTGATTGGGGGGGCAGCTTGTGGGTTGGCGGCGACCCTTTGAGGGGGTTTGGCTAAGTGAGTGAGTGAGGGAGGGAGGGGGGGGAGGGGTGGTGATGATGTATTGGGAGGTGCTTGGGGGATGTTGGACATGATGGCTACGGCGGTGATGATGTACGATATGTACTAGTTCGCAGGCGATGACTCGGCTCTCAATTCAGCTATCACACCGACTACTCAACTCCTCCGGAGCCCATCCCTGCCCCGACAACCAACCTATTGGGTTGGCTAGTCACTCCGCCTCTGGAGATTCAGAAAACTTCCCCGCGGTCAGACACCTCATACCAGCCTACTTGCTGCTGCCCGAATTGCCCGACGAGCCGGAGCTGCCGCTGGAGTAGTACTGGGCCCCGCTGGGCGACGTGTAGGTCGAGCTACCACTGCCGTTGTG